GTACTTACCTCAATATCGGTTGGTTATCGTATGCCTACAACCACGGGATGAAAACGGAACGAAGTCGATTTTCCCGCTCAACCTGGAGGACAACTGTACAATTCAATAACTATACGGCCTAATTCAGAAAATGAGTGTATTATATGTATCGAATATTTAACAGTTGAAATACGATTAACTTGTAGACAATCTACGATTTGATATTATATCATACTTGATCGTGCCTGTAAAAATGGCATGCATTTTCATGTAAATTTGTAAATTTATATGAAATACATTATTATTATTATTAATACTCAAGATCAGATGGCCAGAGTTGATCAGCAATAGAGATCTCTGGGAATGAGCGAACCGACCAGGAACCGATTGCGAAACAAATAGGCAGGAAGAAATGGAGATGGATTAGCCATACTCTGAGGAAACAAACCATCAAGTGACATCACTAGACAAGCCATCGCTTGAGTGGAACCCGAAAGGGAAGAGGCGAGTTGGTCGTCAGTGCAAGGGTGACCTGGAGGAGATCATGTGAAGAAGAATTGAAGCTTATGGGCAGACTTGTAGCCAGGTGAAAACGTTGGCAGAGAACCGAACGCAATGGAGACGCACGGCTGAAGCCCTATATTCCTCTAGGAATTAAAGGAAACAATAACAATATAATAATTATATATATTGTTTGAAGAACTTTGGGTTCGCTAACTTATCAGCGCCAACAATAAAGTTCGTAGCGGTAACTTCGCTACCAATACCGGAAGACTTGCCTCTTGCCCACAAAACCAGGGAAACCCCTCAATGCTAGAAAGCCCTAAGCCGGTGGCCGCTCTGCGCATAACATGCTCCAACTTACGAAGGGACAATAGACTTAAGCCTGATCACAAGGCCTGTATCCTGTATGTATTACTCTAGCACATGTTTATCACCTCTCTTCCTACCTTCCATTAACGCTACATTTCGTAATTCCCGCATGAATTTGACTGACTATTAGTATATTGTAGACTATAAATTAGACTTGAACCAATATATTGTAATCTATTCTAACAAAGGTTATTTTTTCCATTTTTCCAATTTTTAATGTCAAAAACCTTTCTATTTCAAATTGCACTTGTCGAATATGATCATGCCTGTACAAACGGTATGTTAATCATGTAAATGCTTAATTTATGTGAAATATATATATATAGCTGTTAGTGGATGAATTTAGGTGGGTGGGATGATGACAAATTACAGGCCTACACAGCCACGGTATGTACCAGCTGCCACCCTTCCCTTCCCTTCCCTTCTAGACCCACCTAACTAAGTCAACCTTCTTTGAACTCAAAAAGTGGAGCGGAAATATCTTGAGCTCATTCAGGACCTTAAGTTTCTTTAATCCCATAGAATGTTCCCAAACACACGAATCAAAAAGCTTTGATCAGCGCAGCTATATACCCTCCTGGCAGAAACTTACCTGCATCACACTTAGAGGATCCACTGACATAAATATGCCCGGAGAAATGAGGAAGATGAGCCCACGGTTCATTCAAAACGGCGTATATATCGTTTAGAGATATTAATGCTCACATGCAGGAAGTGTTAACAGGTGAAGTAAGTGATCATGATGGATTTTACTGGTGAGACGCATGTAAAGAAAGGTGAATTACGGACAGCGGAGAGCCAGTCTATACTAGAGGTGACGTTTAGAGTTTTAATATATTATATAATATAATATTACAACTAAGCTGTTGAGACCGCATGATAGACAAGTTATATGAGTGCTCAAAGCAGAAACAAAACCTCTTTTTGCGATTTTTGCCTATTTTACTCTGTCACATGTTATTTTGATCAACTAACCTCAGCGATTTCGCTATCAGTTTCTAATTGTTTAATTTTTTATTGTGTTTCTAAGTGAGTTGGATGCTGTCGAGTGAAACAGCAGTCGTAAATCACAGCACCAACACTCTCCAATCCCTTCCTGTCGATTTTCTTCTTGACACTTGAAAAAAAGGAAAGTCGTGTCCTGTAAAAAATATTAAACTTTCTTGAAACAGCGTCTTATGCGACATCTAGTCCATTATTTTGTTAAAACGAAACTGAAGGTTGACACTTTTACTGCACCCATTGAGTTGACCTTGAGTGATACGCCATTACTTTTGGATTCTTAGGTCGCACTACTAAGGATGGGGAAGCATAAGTTTAGGACACGTTGTTATTTGGATATCAAAATCGATTCGCAACCAGGTAAAACATACTTCAAATATCATAAAAAAATATTCAGTGGGTCGTATCGTGTTAGAGTTATTTAGTGATATATGTCCAAAGGCTGCCGAAAATTTTAAGAAATTATGTCAAGGTACTGTTCATTCTTATATTCGAAATTTGTAGGAGTCTGTGGTTTGGGTTTAAAGACGGGGAAACCGCTAACATATCAGGGAAGTATATTCCATCGAGTTATCAAGGGTTTTATGATACAAGGAGGTGACTTCAGTAATAGGGATGGAACTGGGGGTGAATCGATATACGGAGGCACTTTTGCTGGTAAATGCGCTTAGCAGTAATAATCTTTTAGATGAGTGCCTAACGACGGAGCACGACCGCCCTTTTTTGCTGTCAATGGCAAACAGAGGTCCCAACACTAATGGGTCTCAATTTTTCATGTAAGCCCATAACCTCACTACTTACTTGCTTTAGCACCACTGCTCCTGCACCACACTTGAATGGGAAACATGTAGTATTCGGTCATGTGATATCTGGAGAGGATGTCGTCAGGAAAATTGAGGCCGTTCCAATCGCAGACACTAAAGCTCACCGTCCAGTCAAATCGATTGTAATTGACACTTGTGGAGAGCTTATACCAGGTAAATTCCTAAAATATTTGACTGACTTTGGTAGTTAAAAAAGGGAAGATTTCAAGTGGTGAGAAGAAGAAGAAAGCGAAAAAGGAAAAGAAGAAAAAGAAGCGGAAAGTTAGCGAGGAGGAAGATTCATCAGAAAGGTAAGATACATTTTATGATTCATGCTTTAGTGAAAGCAACATGGGTAATGGATGCAGTGTTCGAAAAGAAGAGATTCCAGAAGTGCCACCACCAAAGTTTCTTTATCGTGGTAACTATGAGGAGGATCAGCTGGAATTACAGAAAAAGATGGAAGCCAGCCCAAGGTATGACCATTTTTCTAAATTGTAATTGTTTTATGTGGTCTTGTACACGACTTTTAAAAGTAGATTTCGTATCTTATTGGGTTATGACTAGATAGTTGTTACAGACGTCTTAGATGTTTTCATGCACTTGTGACTTTTAGGCTGTTCAGTCAGCAATATGAATCGAAAACTTACGTAGCGGAAGCGAATTTAATTCTCTGAAGCCAAGGTACGTTTTGGACGTCATCGGTGATGAGATAGATTTTAAGAAGACGGTGTATGTGCATGTTGGTTTTTGACTGTTAATTTTTGTGATTTAAATGGTCTCTTAATGTACATCCGACTTTTGACTTGTCTGCGGATAGTCACTACATGATATGAAGTTACATGTTGAAAAGTTAAGGACTGCTTCGTGACTATAAAGTAGTGCCATTCAGCTCCGGAATCGGTTGTAGCTTAGTGTCCCTCAAGTCTTATGTCAGTGATTCCGCTAGTTTACAAGTCGTACGTGTAGTCAGCATTTACGTAATTACCATCCTCACCTAGCTGGTAATAAGGGTTGACATAACTTCAGTAATATTTTGTACATATTAATTTGGTGATGTTTATCTTTATCATGTCGTGCAGTATCAGCAGAATAATATATAGTAATGAGTTTCTTCATTATTCACTATTATGACGTCATGAAGCCTAATTTTTTGCTACTTTTGATCAACAGTATTTCAGCTCGTCTCAGCAATTGCTCGACCGAGTCCAGGTGGGTCTTTCATTGCTATTACGTTTAACTACTCAATTTGCTTCACGAAAGGTTTTATACATTTGCTACAACATCCGGACTAACTGCACTCAAACAAATTTGCAAATAAAGATGGTTTACTCTGTGTGATAGTAGGGAGTTGTGTGTGCCTCATGAAGCCGTAACGTTTGCCAATTAAATGAGCGATTCTCTTACAGACAACCCAATTTATTGTAGTCTTACATAGCATAGTATATGTAACGTTTGGTCTAGTAGAAAACAGTCCAGTTGATTTATATTCTGTTGTATTCATAGTGTTTTATATCTTAAAAGCGATATTTTAGTATTTCTACTGAAGATTCATTTAGACTACGCGCAACATTTTACGTTTAACTAATGAGCATATTTAAACGACCTTTTTTATGCAATATAAGCATTATTACTCAACTACTTGCATTGCTATGCAGTTGGTAGTGAGATGTACATATTGTGTGAGGGTAAATGATATTACATGGCTGTTCAAACCTCGGCAGTTTGAGCCTGATATGCACTCGTTAACCAGTGGTTGCTAATGGAGTGTCTAGATCAGTGGACCACAACCATATATCATAAGCGCGCTTGGTCTCATTAACCAACCGGTATATGAAATATGTTGTTTAAGTAATAGAGAAGATTTGTAGCTCAGGTGGATGATTTGCAATTAAAAGTGTTCTCTGAGCTGGTTGGTTCAGTCGCGAAGCTTTCGTCGTCCTTCCGGACAACATCTTCAGCGCCATATTTAGCACAAAGTGAAATGATTTAAATTTCTTCATGCGTGATGTAATTGTGTCTCCTGGATAGTAACCAGGAGACACAATTACATCACGCATGAAGAAATTTAAATCATTTCACTTTGTGCTAAATATGGCGCTGAAGATGTTGTCCGGAAGGACGACGAAAGCTTCGCGACTGAACCAACCAGCTCAGAGAACACTTTTAATTGCAAATATTGTTTAAGTGCTTTCCAGATCGTTTGTCACCAATCTTATGTATGCATAAGAATAAAATTTGGGGATCGTAGGGGGAATATACTTCCATCTGAGAATGATTACATCTTGATATGATTTTAAACATTAAATTGCGCTTGAACGTTATCTGTAAATAATATATTATTGTGTTTTATCAAACAAAATTATTCTCCTGTATATAGTTATTCCAGTAACTTCTCACCATTAAATTTGCATTCGATTTCTCATTAAATAACGGACTACTGGGATTTGATAATTATCGTAGTAAGAATCATATTGCTCAGTGTCCAGTCATATTACCACTGAATTTCACAACAAAGTGTTTCCTTTTTCAGGCATGGTTCGGGGAGCAATCGTGAAAGTGTTAGAAGTCGATATCAGGAGGACCGTTCAGGTCGAGTGGTCAAAGGACGCGGTCGAATTGTGAGTCATATTCCGCCCTTATTATAACCATTTCATAAGTACTGTTTTATCTGATTTTCTACGAAGTTATGGATTTAAATACTGTAGAGTGATAATATTATTGTATTTTTATACAGCTTTTGTATCCCATGCTTCTGATAACTATATCTTGCTGTAAAATGCGTCAAAAGTGAAGGTAAACTATTCAGACTGATGATGATAACTATCGTGTTCGTAGTGTTGAAATATACTGCTAGTTGTCTCACAATACCGGTAGTCCTCTATCTATCTATCTATCCTACTTGAACCGCCTATCTTTTTTGTTAGTTTAAATATTAAAATCTCACATTTCATACATTAGTTGTGGTATTTTTTGTTTTGTATTTTTGCAGAAACCTAATGGTTACCAACTCAGTCTTACCGTGTAATTTTTTAATCAAATTTTCCATTGTATTAAATTAGCACACCAGTTAGCAATTGGTTACTCATTAATTTGGATTTTATTTTTAACTTCATATGTTCATATTTTTTTTAGTGTTACCAAAGTCCGAATTCCCGTTCAGGAAGTCCTGAGCGTAGTACCACACCACCACATTGGCGCCAAGCAAGCTCTCACACTCAAAAGTTAGACCAGGATGATTGGAAACAATGGAATGAACGACGAAACCAGGAACAAATGAATCATTTACAGTATGTCTCTTGGTACTTCGTAATTTGGTTAGGCACCTAGTTTTCGCATCTCATAGGTTTGGACCTCAATTTGCATTAAGTTGTGATAGTTGAGTAGTGCCATGGCTTCCGACCATTTTTGGTGGTTCATCACTTACCATGTAGCCATATAATGATTTTGAGTTGCGTTATTGTTATTTAAATGTATTCAACAAAGTCCTAGTCCGAAAATTGTGTACGTGATTTTCGCTATGTCACACTGAAGGCTTACTTTTCAATTGTCTACACAACCTACACTACTTGGTCACTAATAAACTTGGGATAAGTTGAGCATTTGATTGATAGGAATGGAATTTAGAGACTTAACATTGTTTTCCATAATACTATTTAATTTTCGCAGTTTAGAAATATTCTGACTTTATTGTTATTGTTAAAAAATTGTTTTTCCAATTTTCATTGAAGAAGAATGTCGTCTCATTCATCCCGTGGGAGCCGCCATGATCCACCATCTCCCTCCATAGCTGCCAGTCGTAACCGCAACCCAAGCACTTCACCGTCTTTTGTAACCAACATTGGTGTTCCTAATAATATAAGAGACGCTGATTCTCCGGAGAAAGAATTTTCAACAGGTCAAAGGGATGGTCGGAAATCGCGTTCTCCTAGTCAGTCACCACCAAAGAATCAGTAGGTCCATTTGATATTTCATAAGCGTAGTCTGACTGTAGTGGTCCTAAAGATTATGTATGATTCCACTTTTTTGATATATCTTTGTTAGTTATTTACATCTTAAGTTTGATAGTCAATTAATGACCTATTAGAAAACATCTACTTTTCTAAAAATCTCCTTAGTACTAGACAAATTTTTTGGTGCTAGTAACTTTTTTGAAGTTCTCATGTTGTTCTCTGTCTGTGTACCTGTATACTGGATTCACTAGTGGCTTTGCAAACTGGAAGGATTTCTTCGTAGTGTTTAGGTTCTAGCAGCTTACATGTATAGTGTCGTAGAAATGTGGCATTTTTTGTTATCATTTTCGTTTTTCAAAAACATTAAGTAGCTCTCTTCAAGAAATGCGCTACATATTAACTGAACCTTTTTATACTCGTAGTTTCAAAAATTTACTTGGTTGTGTTTCTGTGAACAGGTGTCAGTAAGTCAATGTACAGTTGAAGCTTGTTAAAACTAATTTAGGAAGCGCTGAAGATGTCACTAAAATCTTTTTAAGGTCTTTGCTACTCATTTTTAATTATTCCTGTATTCCCATTGGTGTTATTCTACCCATCTTATTTCTCCCACTGCTTTTGAATGCTTATTTCGAAATACTGTACTCGAGCTTTAGTCTTTGTAGTGAATACTAAAATCTGCTGTTGTGGTTAAGAATACATGCTTTTTTTATCAATTGTGTACGTCGGTAATTTTTTTTGCTTCTGATGAGTGTAAGTTTTGCGGACAATTTTTATCTCTGTTGAAATACAAGCTATAAAAGTCTTCAAATATAAGTAATTTTCGGAAATGCTCCCTTAAACATTTTTTCCACTATTTTTATATTCACTTTCAACACATTTTAGTCAGATTTTAGTAGATGACTCCAAGATAGTGGAAAACGGTTCCTCCCCAACACAGAATCACGTATCACCAACTTCAGCCGTACAAAAAAGGATAAATACCGAGTACGTGGGTAAATCTGAGGATTCGCATGACAGGCGCTATCCTAGATCACCCGAAGACATGCGTCCGACACCATTGTCTGAGGATCAGCGTATTTCGGGAATAGGCGACGAATGTATGGTAGATATCGATGAAGATAAGCTTAACACTCTTGCAACCAATACTCATGAACAGTCTTCAAAACTCTCTAAATTTTCAGAGTATTCGAGCGTTAAGGTAAGTACCCGTTTAATAGTTCAGTGTTTCTTAGGAATACTGCTTCTTTGAACCAATTATGTAAAATCTGCTTTAACATCAATGTATGTGTAAAAGTTGGACACTGTGGTAGCACATGTGATTGATTGCATATTAATTTGCTTTTTGGATATATTACACAGTGAAACAGAATTATTTGCTGGATGACGTTTCGAACACAATTTATTGTTCATAACCATATCAATAGTAACTACCCAATTTCGAAACTTGATTTTTAACATCCTTAAAATCACTAGGACTGCAAGTATTTTGTTAACAAATTTAATATTAAACAGGTTCATTTAAGCAATAAGATCATGTGTATTGTTTTCTCTTTTATGCTTATCAATCTAGCACTGTCAGATTATGTTGTAAGCAACAAATAAACACTGAAAAGCAATTATAGTGTCATCGTTTTGGCATCGAATTTTCGGATTTTAGTTATAGTAGTTATTTCGTGTAACACGTGTACCTTTTTTGATTGAGAATCCTTTTTGACCAGTGTTTTTTGTTTTGCTAGTCTGATTCACCGAAGAGACAATTAGGGGATTCACCGAGGAGACAATTAGGGGATTCACCGAAGAGACAATTAGAGGATTCACCGAAAGCCTTATCTCGCAGTAGTCAGTCTCCTTTAAAGTTTTCCGGATCATCAAATTTGAAATCTCCACAACAAGCAGTTGTTTCCCCAGCTAACTCATCCACTTCCAGTCAACAACAGAAATATCGATCAAAGTCTCCTGTCCTTCAAATGCTTTCGCCCAAACATACTACTGTAGAGAATCAAGCTCCTACAGAGCAGAACGCCGCTTCACCTCCTACTTACTCATCACCTCGTGTATCTGTTATTGCTTCCGAAAACCGAATGCCATCTCCACCTGATCAAAATGCTCAACAGTCCTCTCCTGGTATTCCTCATAAACATCAAGTAAGTTTTTCTTAGACATTTAAAGCAAATAATTTGTTGTGGTTCGTAATTAAACTTCTGGATTTTATTGCAGCAGATGATATGACACAGGACGGGTTCCTATGGACAACCTTTCTTAAGGTTCCATCGGCTTTCCTGGTTAATTCAACATCAGAAAAGGGAATCTTAGGTTCATTTTCCAGAGTAAATTTTATTTCTGGATAGCAGTTGTTAAATACTTGTAACAACTGATTAAGTTCATGTTATCAAAAATGATAAGAATGTCGTACACGCATACCTCGCATACTTGAAAATTATCAATAGTTGATCTTAATGCGCCTTTCCTATAAAGCATTCTGCTAGCAGTGGACCTAAGGGAAATCCCATTGCGATTGATGGTGGCTAGCAGTAGGATCTAGGATGCTCATTTTGTCCGATTTGGGACTCTTCATCTGGATGCACTTGCATCTCTAGCGAGTGGTAGTGTTCCCACTGGGACACTAACCTGGTATCTCTTATTTCTAGCACCAGAGCGTTATCAATCAACTGAAAACACAAATTAACTTGAACAAATACAAAACTGGATTTCAAACAGCATTCAACGTCAGTAGATTTAGTTTAAATAATAAATTTACCGGGTACAAAAGAGTTTGTTTCTAATAGACAAATGTGCAACATGCATGTTATGATCTCAGAATGAATCAGCAATCATATAAAAGAGTGGAGAATAGTCATGGCTACTAAAACCGAATTACGATAAGTATATATGTATATAATTTGTTTCTGATTCAGTAGAAAAGTACCTTTTTGAGTATAAACTGTTTTTAACGTATTTATCAAAACGGGATTTTCTATGATTTTTTTTTCAGGCTTCTCCACAGCTTCCCTCTAGAATACCATCACCTCAACCAATTAGTTATAATGAACCCGAGGACATACCATTTCCAAGTGAGTGTGCCCCACCTATACAGGAAAGAGCCAAGTCTCCAGAGAAACCTAGCAAACCGCTCATATCACAAACAGATGAAGAGCCAAAGGCTGCTCACATCTCTCGATCAGCTTCACGAAGTTCGTCGTCATCAGAATCTGGATCAGCTTCATCTTGTGAATCTGATAGTTCTAGGTCACGTTCACGTTCCCGTTCCCGATCTCAGTCTCAAACAAGTCCGAAATCCCATCGTAGACAAGCTCCACGAAGTCCTCCAGCTCATCTTGTGGAGAAGTAAGTTGAAATCTTCTCATCACTGGGAATTACGTTTCTTTAAAAAAAAATAATTTTAGCTGTCTTGCTGTTTGTTAATGGGGAGAATTAAGTCTCTGTATGCACTTAGTAGTCGTTTATACAATAAACCATTAGTGGAAGTACACAATTTTTTATGTTTGTATGCTAATGACTGATAACTCACATAATATTACTGTTGGACTTTTTAAAATTACCTAATCACTGACATTATTTACATGTATATAGATGGAAAATGCGCCGTGAAATGCTGAACCAAAAACGTCGTGTTGTACCACCATCCGTAGCAGCGTACGCACCTTCTGGATCATCAGAAGACCGTTTGAGACGTAATGCATCTGGAAGAAGTATCCATGGTCATTCCCGCTCACCATCACGTTCCATCACCAGCCGTCGGAGAAGTAGATCTTCGAGTTCTCGTTCCAAATCAGGCTCATTTTCCCATCGTCGTACTAAATCAAATATAAGACGTGGTTCTCCTGAAACAGAAAGTGCTCGCAAACGAAGAAGAAGTACCAGTCGTGATAGGAAAACATCACGCTCAAAATCTCGTAGTCGTTCACCCGCGAAGGGTCACGGGTTGAAACATCGAGGTACCTCACCCAGCAAACCTATTATAGTGATAACGAAGAAGAGTCACACAACACAGTAAGTTTTCAAGGAATATATCATTCTATACTTGGATTTTAGTGGCTTTCTGATGGCAAATTGCTTTTTCACTGGGTTTGTGTTACAAAGTTTGAAAAGTAGTGATGTTTCAATGTCGGTTTATGTCCATTTTCCGTGCTTTCGAGATAAGTAGTAGTTCTAACCAAACATAATTTTCAAGAGTTAGCTTGTAGAGATTATTTGTTTCAAGTCTGATCACTGATTGTCGTCATTTAGACAGAAATTAAAGATCAGGGAGTAATTAGCAGCCATTCCGTCCTAGTTTAAGACTGCCAGTAAACGCCTCACAACCGCATCACCAGCAGTCAAACCAAGGACCTTTAAGTTCACTGACCATCGAGCCACTTGGGCCGGAATCCAATGGTCCATGGGTTCTAACGTCTGTCAATTCGCGATTTTAGCGCGACCACCAGCCGATGTCATCGGCGAGTATTTGTCTTCTCAGCTAACCTGGTGTACCCCTCACCGGTCACGACTGCTCACTAGTACTCCAGGCAGCTTCGTCTTGTAGTCGGTCACTGGTGGGCAACAGACAAATTTTCAATCTGTGATCAAACTTAAAATGAATCAAATCCCTACAAACTAAGCCTGGACGTTTGTGTTCACGTGTTGTTTTGACTTTCAGGGGAAACAGTGTTGATATTTCAGTGCTTTTTGCACATCACAAAACAAATTTTCAGCTTGAAACCAACTCCTGGCATGGATTGATGTCATTTGCTGGTGAAGCCAACCAACCAGTGCTTAGTTAAAACTCAGATACCCAGGCTTAAATGAGTCAAGAATCGAATCCTTAAGCTCTTGAGCCTGGTATCCACACGGATATTTAATTGCGCGACAAGATTTCTGTATTTAAAACTATCTTGTCTTCTAGGTTCCAATAGTTTTTATTTTTGAAATATCGAACTTTTAAATGTTTATAATGATTTTATGTAATCGCTGAACTCAGCCAATGCACTGAAAAAAGAGAGCGCGTGATACGAAAATTTAAAAAGCTTTCCATCAAATGAATGAACAGAATTATGTGTGAAATTGTGATAATTAAGAATGAAAACATTTCCATCATTGTCCATTTTAAATTTCTGTGCACTTGAGTCGTTGACTAACATCTCAAGAACTATTGCTTAGTACATAGTACATAGTTTCAGAACTATGAAAGTCTGTTGGTCCGAAACATTTTCAGGTCTTTCACTGTCAATACATTTGATAAGTAAGTAAAATCAATTGATTAGTGACGTCTTGCTGCTGATAGAATAGTTCAAGTCTTAAACAGATTGTGTACAGTTTTATTTACGTTTTTGTTTTCTCTACTTTGCTTCGCTTCGGTCTCGAGCCAATCTTCCTGATTTTTCTAAAATCTATGAGAAAGTTGCCTGCAACTTTTTGAGGGAGGGTGACAGCTGTAAAATATTAATTCTATTGCTTGGTGTTTAGTTCTCTATTCTGAAATTCTCAGTTGAAAGGACACGGTGGACTTTTCCCTGTGGAGTATGGTACTAAAAACCAACGTCCGTTTATAGGAAGTCTTTTATTAATCTTTCCAATCCCCAAGACGACTGTTTATCATTTCGTGTGTAGGCTGATCTCCCTCGTTGTATAGCAAAGTATAATTGGAATCTTTAAGGCTGAAGAAAGTAGTCTGTTAAGATATTTGGGACGCTGGAGGTCTAAAGGTTTGACAAGGAGAAATAAAGTCGCTTAACATCAGTAAGGATAAGCAAAATTGTTATTCTCAAAACATATATTCATGTAATTCTTTAGACCTGCGAAACGATTATTTCACGTATAGTGTTTACTAACTAATTTATACGATTGACCTCTCGGAGTTATGTGCATAATAAGCTCTTGCAGCGCTCAATTAAGATTGTCAGAAACCTACAGTTGCAAATATTTTCAGTAGTGAATTGGCGAAAATCATGGGGAATGTAATATTTCATCGGGTGTTAGGTGGTGACTTGTTACAGTATATATTTTACTGGAAAGATTAACGCATTGTAATCAGAATCTACAATGCTGCAAATGTGACTTTAGTTTTCACATATCACTCTTGTGATTAGTGGTTTTTCATTGTATGCATCACTGTATATTGAAACATCATAACTTATGGAGTTGTTAAGTGTCACCAGAAGCGTCACGTGTTATGTTAGGGTGGAGTAGCATGTATTCAATCAAGTTGTAGGCGAAACATCGCGTGACCATCAGGTATTAAAAGTTATGGTTTAATAGATTATTATTATTGACATCTTTTCACAATCTCCCTTTCGAAGCAGTTTTAATGCCGCTAAGAAGTGATTTTCAGTTCGGGCAGTTATGTCATTAGTTGTGCGGATTCTTAGGATATTGACGTATCGTATCATGACCTTCTCGTCAGTCTAAGGAGTAATATTAGTACACTTGTGCGAAGGCATTTATAAGCGAAGCATATTATAATTCGCAGGCAAGCTAAACATCTGGCGAATATATATATATATATATAAACGTATTTTGAACTTTAACCTGCATATGAAATGTTTATTTCACCTAAATTTTTGCGAAAGGATGTTAGTACTCCTGTTTTGCTTTCCTCATTAGAAAACCACCGAAAATTGTCGCTGAGGACCCACCTGTTGAGGTAAGTTCACTCTTTATACTTATTGAGAAATGTTTGTCTTTTTGTATAATAAGTTTTCGAAGTTTACTAAATGTTTAAAATTGTTTTTGAAGATCAGCATATTAATGGGGGATAATAGTCAAATGGGATTTCGGTGTTAAAGAATATGGATTATTGATAATGTGAAAATGCGAAAAGTAGTCGGCAAAGAGAGCTGTTTAATACAGTTGATGTTCAACTTACTTAACTAAAGTATCACAATGATTTTTTTTCTTTATTTCAGTGGTTAGTGTATTGAGGTCAGTACAATAGAAACAGTAGGATCAGTGAAGCGTTAATTGTCGTCTACTTTCAAGATGAAGTGGGTTTATTGAATTTAATACGAACAAATTGTTCTTTTTTTGCCGAACTTTTTAGAATTTTCTTTCACATTGCTATTTTTTAAAAGGATATTCCTGTATCAAGCAAGTGGGAGAAATCTCCTCATATTGCAGAAGAAAGTACAAACCAACCTTCAGTACCTCAGTGGAGTAGCAAACCGTGGCAGACTGACAGTAAACCGGAACTTGAAGAATCCGTTAATAAGAACGGAAAGATTCTGCCTGGGAAAATTCAACTGGCAAATAATAGCACCGTTTTACAAAGACTTCGAGGTGCACAACAAGAGCCTACTAATAACGAGACGCAACCAAACAAAGATGACTCTCCTGTTACTGGCTGTGATACAAAAACCAATAAACTAGAGAACTCAACAGCTGCTTCCTCTGAAACCACATCAGTGTCAAATGTACCAACTATGATCAAACCTCAAGTTCCACCTCTTCCTAAAAATCAGGTATTTTCATGCGTCCATTTCATAATTGGTAACCTATTTGTGGAAGTGTTTCTCCATTGTCTTGATCACTCGGTTTTCAGCCGAAAAGATCCTTGATTCGAATCCCACTACACTTAATTCAGCCTTAGAACCTGAGTAGCATCATCAGTCCACACGCAGTAAGTATGGCTCATAGCCTAGTGCATAAGTAACTGATCATTATGGAATCATTGTCCATGTTTACATAGACCAATGTTATTTAGGCTTTTTCTTGACTAACAGCGTTTTTATAATGCACACTGCGAAGAATGGTGTAACCTTTAATTTTTAGTAAAACTGTAAAGAGAGGAAGACTTAGTTGGTGTATAGACTTGTTGTTTTGTGACGAATAACATTGAGTGACCATCCAAACGTAGTCTACTGCGCAGATCCACTGAACCATAAGTCATATGTACACTTAGCTTATTATTGTTTATTTTATTTAGCAGGTGTGTGTTGTAAACAGTTGACGTACTTTTGAGATTTGACATATTAGTCATCTGTTTAAAATATATTTAACTGAACTGCTTAATTAGAGATAGATGAGAACACTGTTGTTGAATACATTTCGCTTTCAGTTCGTATTTCAACTGTTTTACATACACACATAATTAAGATAAACCCTTAGAATTGTAATCCGCACAATGATGATAATTAAAATAGTAACGTTTTCTTTTTTTAGCAGGTTAAAAAACCAGCTGCAATCAGAGGACGATCTCATTCATCTAGTTCTAGTTCAGCCTCTTCTTCTTCCTCTTCTGGATCTTCATCAAGGAGCTCAAGCAGACCTAAGCGTTCTCGCCATAGATCTCGATCAATAAGCAATTCTGCTCGCAAAGTTCAGCGAAGTGATTTTTCAGACTCAAGAAGTAGAGGTAGGGGTCGATATTCCCCAGTCAGTCGTTCATACTACACGAGATCACGTTCACGCTCATTCTCAACAAGAGCCTCTACGAATTGGGGTACACGTACAAGCTATCCAAGCCGAAATCGTTCTTGGTCTAGATCACGTTCTCGATCATTTTCAAGGGACTCTCGGTCTCGCAGCTCAAGTACGCGTCGACACAAGCGTCGCCACAGAAGGACACGTCGTGGTAGAAATTCCAGTCGCAGTTGGTCATCCTCCAGAAGCTCTAGCAGATCTACAAGGCGACGCTAACTGTAATATTATTAACTTATGCAACAACTGAATTATTCAGTCAATGTTTTGAAATGTATTTACTTCACATTGTAATTTTGTGTTCTCACTTTATTATAACACATCAAAAAGGCGAATGTGGTTTCAAGTTAATTATATTGATGAATAGTGGTTGTTATGATCCGATACGTGTAAATAGATAAATCGATAAAGTATTGGAATGTTATAATAAATAAAGTATGTTTGAGGAACTCAGTAAGTTAAATGCTATAGCTGATAAATAAGTCACAAGTATTCATTCAGGAAATCAGTTGTCATGGTTAAAATTAAAAAAAAGAAATCATTCTGTTTCATTTCGTGGACGAGGTGGTAATGGTGGAGGTATTGTTCTCGGAGGAGCATGTGGAGCAATGCGCGTAGGCGGAATGGAATCGAACTAAAAAAGTATTAAACATTTTCCTTTAGTGAAATGAAGACTTTAATGAAGACAACTAGTGAGTAATTTTAATGTTAAGATATAACACAATGGAGACTTAATTGGTACATGGTACATCACAATGGCATTATATCATAGAACGTTGAGGATTGTTGCACTCAATCAGTTTAGTCGATTAGAGCATATCGAGGCATGCTGATATCTTAGTCTTAAAACTTATCAATATCTGGGCTTAGTTTCGATTATCTGTAACGATGCTGAGTGTGAATAACTTACTCTAATGCTTTTTGCGACATTTCTTTCCCTAAGTTGCTGGTACCAGGCGCACTAGATGGCATAGAAATTCATACCATTTGAAAGCAGACCCATAATGAGGAATGTAGATGTTCAAAGTTTCGATGTATTAATTCCGGAATACGAAACTGTCGTTGAAGTTTGTGCAGTTCAATGCATATCATCAGCTTGCATCAGTGTCAAGTTGGCTGATCCTGAATGAAGGGAATTAATTGACCGTACTTAGGAAGTTGTAATCTATGTAGTAGATTTTATCTGTAGTCGAGAAATTTGCAAGTAAGAAGTCATAGGTTCATTGCGTTGTGAACTATCAAAGTGATTCAGTAGGGTCGAGAAAGGAAAAGCTCCCTTCATGTATGTTCATATACATTCCAGTCGAATTGTGCCACAGAAAGTGCACAGTGGTCGTGAAACTAAACTTCATAGCTGAATTATGATTCGATGAATAATACTGTAAGGCGAGATGTGTGATCGATGGTCACTGCTTGCACAAAGCCGAATCTCTCATGAGCACTGTTAAATCCACGCACTCGGAAGACCTACAATTCCCTTTATTGAAGTAGGAAATATAATCATCAGTGTTCTACAGTAAGGGTTAATCTTTCAATCTTCGTTGCATCCCCAAGCCAAAGAAAACTCATTGATAAAATATTAGTCGGCAAGAACATGACAATATCGTTCCGAGTGGAAAGTAGAACACCAGTAGAATGTTTTAAAAATACCTGTATTATTGTATCTTACATAGATGTGATCTGAATTTGCTTTGTTTGTCAGTTTACGCTTCAAAATTCATGCAAATACAATACTTAGATATCCATTCATAGAAAATATATGTAGCCCAGAATGTAGATTCTCTGACTGAGGGGTTTCCTTTAGAAAAAACTTTCATTGATATTTATATTTGACACGGTTTAAAGGTGTCTCAAATCATATTTAAATTGGTTACAGGATTTCATCATGAGCTGACATCATCGGTTAGAGAACCATTGAAAAATCTGGGAGTACTGGTTTGGGACTCTTCAGTAGTACGCGCCCACCGGGGTTCGAACCCAGGACATGGTTACAAGGCGAGCTCGCATACCATTAAGCCACTGGGACCCGATGCAATGGCCCATGAATTCTAACTTCTGCCAATTCACGATATAGCGCGACCGCTAGCCAATGCCTTCGGCGAGTATTTGTCCTCACACCCGACCTGCTGCACCCTACTGGCCATATGGGTCTTGCTAGGGAATCTTTCTACAGTATAAGTGGGATCCACTGCTGGACAGCTAACACGAATTTCATTTCCTGTTTTTGAAAGAAGCAGTTAACAATTTGAATCTATCAGCTGATAGTTCATCACTGGGATACCGAACGTCATAGTGACTGTAACAAATACACCGTCTCTCGTGATTCTTTATACCAACTATACCCGTTTACAAATGTAACACTTGACTTACGTTTATTAGTGCAGCGTCTTCTAGAAGGTTTGATGTTGATTTTGAATTGCCTTGTGTAGTAGGGTTTATGAGAGAGAATGGGTCATCAACTGATCTGCTCAAAAAAACAAACAAAATTAAACAGTTATATAGTAATGAATGAGAGCAAACATGTCATTTAATTAATTCCCTAAAGAATTGTGTAAATATTAGTTTAGAGATTATTGTAATAATGCAAGAGGATATGTGGTTTCTGTCTGTCTGGATTCAACGCAGAACTTGGCACCGAAGTGCAGCAGTTTGAGTTGCCACGTTCCAAATAGCACACGAAGGTAGACAAGAAAATGAGTGAAGAGAATCAATAGAGTTTTGACAAGTATAAGAGCGAAACAGAATGAGTAATGGTAGAAAGGAATATGAAAGATTACAGAGACTGAATATATCTGCGTAAGCCATTGACAACAATTTTGAGCCATGTCACCTATTGTCTCCAGCCTTCATTGATTCTTAGAGTACTGAGGGCCCCAACCCGGAAGTCTGCATCTCCATACCTGACTCAGTTCAACTGTCAAGGATTTCATGGATTGATGCCATGTTTTTGTTTGGCCACCACTTACTCTTTTCCAACCTGCACCTATATCAGCTGGTAATGCCCGTCGGGGGAGACGATGGTTAGGCATGCGCAGCACGTCACCTAGACATCTCAATCTATGTAACTTTATAGCCTCTTCGATTGATTTTCCCTCTTTGCCCAACACTCTACGCCTAACGTCGACATTACTTACCTTATTATACCACCTAATGTGAGAAAGAGATCGTAGACATCTATGATCAAAAACAGTCAACCTTTTCATGTCTTCAACTTGTATTGGCCATGTTTCAGAGCCATAGAGAAGGACGGAGCGAACTGCTGAGCAGTACACACGTCCCTTGGTTGATAGCCGGATGTCACGCCTACGCCAGAGATGGTGTAAGTTAGCGAAAGCAGCTCGAGCTTTTTGGAACCGTGCTGAGATTTCGTCGCCAATCAGTCCGTTGGTGCTGATACACTTTGCCAAATAGGTGAAGTGGTCAACATGTTCTATCACTTCACTCCCTATCATTAAGCTAGGAGTTGACGTGATTTCGTTTATAACTGGCATTCAGTACGAAAATTACGTACGTTCTTGGTCTACATCACGTTCTCTCGGTCCCGCAACTCAAGCTCAAATGTCTACTATCTCACTCGGCGCCCAATTATTTTGAAACTGTTCGATCAAATCTTGATCACAGTTCATATGAATTTCATTTGGGTTGTTGAGACTGATTGTGATTGAACCGTCATCTAAAAAAAAACAACCTAATCAACTCATACTCCTTTTTGTCAACACACACTACTGGACTAGTTTCAAAAGGCAATATCGATCTGGTGGTGGTGGGGGTTGCTTTTCTTTTGTGTCAGGAATACACGTTGATTTTATACAACTAGAGTAGTGGTAGTATTGAAGAGTAATTTTGCCAATAACACAGTTCAATTGTAATTAACTTGACAACTCATCTGACTGACTATGGAATTTCAAAATACTGAACGAGAATAGAATTTTACCACAAAACACTATACACACTATAAGAGATGTTAGTTTTATCAATAGAGACGTTACGCGTAGTGCTTTTGCACAACATCGCAAACACAAGACAATTAAAAAATACAACTTATAGTGTCTACTTTAAATATTATGATTTTAATTTTTCTCCTCGCAAGTAAGCCAATTGACAACCATTATGTAAACAAACTTCGTCTTAACCATTATTACTATTATTGATAGCATAATTAATAGAGTGAGGGTGTATTTTATTTACTATGATCGATAAATCTGTGTGCAGGCTACACGCTCAATTCAGCAAAAAATAAAAATAAATAATTTCAGAAGTCTTCACACACACAGCAAAACGTTTTTGAAAATAAGTCATAAGTGTTTGCTAAAACTAGGACCAGCACAATATTTAAAAGTAGTATCTCTAGGGTTCTAAAGTTGATATACGACCGTTTGCCTTTATCTTTTTTCTAAAAGTTCAAAAATATATTAGTAGCTAGCTAGTTAACAGGGTTTACTTCGATTCTTTTTTTCTTATTCATTTACGTTTCCCGGTGGGACATAGAGCTTCAAGCTAGAGATTTGAAGTTTCGGCTACAGTGGTGATTATTTTTACGGGATGGGTTTTATAGCCTCATGCCCAACTTTCCCTCTTTACCAGTCTTACTACTGGCTTATCGAGTTAAAAAAGAGTGCGTCGACCGGTAATTGAACCCCGGACCACATGCGTGGACGGCTATGATTCTACCGCTGTGCCATCAACGCACATGAGTTGATTTCAACGAAGAGTATCAAGTTTGGTCAGAGTACTTGCTCAATTTTCATAATTATAGATATTTATTGTATGCCCAGCGAGAACCGATTTCTCATAATTATTATTTCAAATGACTAGGGACAGGTAACAATCTGCTGTTTATCGGTACACAAAGGAACAATATAGTGACGAGTATTATTGGTGAAAATATACAAAATAAATCCAAACGGCGTATTCAGTAAAGAGCTACAGACAAAATGATACACACGTGTTGGTTTGATTGGTCACAGGTTTGATCCTGAGAACCCGGCGTACATAGTGCTGAAGAGTCCAAAACTAGGACGAAGCAGCTGTCCAATAGTTCCCTAAATGATGTCAGCTCTTAATTAAACACATAACGAATTAATAAACCGCAGCTAAGTGTCATCGCAAAATGAGTATGGTAGTTTTTTAGTGTGTTCTCTAATTTGTGCCATTCAGTTGGTTGTTGTTAACGTTCGACTGAAATTACATTAACACAGAAGTATTTAAAACAACAGTGTATTGGATAATGTATAAACTAGGAATTTTTTTCCCTTCACGTTCCCCAGTGGAACATAGGGCTTCAAGCTAGTGGCTTGAAGTTTCTGTAGCAGTGTTTATTTTACAGGATGGGGTTGCTAGCCTCATGCCCAACCTTTCCTCTTCACCAGCTTTATTTCTGGCTTAGCGAGGTAAAGGAGTGCG